GTTGATATGTCACACAGCAGCAGCCACATTGCATTTTTTGGTTCAAGAAAACAATAAAATGCAATGCTTTACTGCAAATGTGGCAATCTAAAATTGAATTCAGAGGTTCCACATTTTGTCTATCAATGATTCCATCAAAATGGTTCACTTTAGAAGTCTAAAATATTTTTTAACGGCAAATCCTGCAAACTCCTTTTAAAATCAAAATATCAAGCTTTATCTGTAATACTGTGATCAATTTCTATGGTTAGAACAGGTCTTAGGTGACAAGTTTGTTGATGCTTCCTCTCTCATAGCTGCATTTAGTTTTGAATATTAACAGCTAAAAACTGGGTTGCATCAGTGAGCTATGCAGCTATAACTTGACAATAGTTAGGAAGGAGATAATCTGAATAAGCAGGTACGTTTTTACATTGTCACTTTTCTGTCCAGAACCATGTTTTAGAATGAAGACGGAGATTCAGTACCAACAGTTAAATTCAATCTCCTGTTCCATATTAAGGCTGATTCCCACCTTTCTGCTCCCTAACTTCACAAAAATTCTACCAATTTGGAAATTGTCTTACATCATCGTAGACATTTTCTTGAAAGTTACACTTAAGCAGTACAAAGTGTCCCTTCCCACCTTGCCAAAGAAAAAAAAAATATATACACACACACACACACACACACACACACACACACACACACCCCCAACCTTTTCAGAAGTCTATTAACTTCTCATTTAAAAAAAAAGTATCTTGGTTTAAGAGTTTACTTTGCTGACATGGCCTCACTTAGAATGAGGTAAACTAGTGAAGGCAAAGCTAAATTTAGTAATCTTACCAGTGAAAATTGTTTTTTAAAGTGGAGCCTTAGTTCCAAATGTCCAGGCTGCGCACGCGCGCGCACACACACACACAGACACACACAGACACACACACACAGACACACACACAGACACACACACACACACACACTTTATATATATGTTTCTCCTATTAATTCTGTTTTCTTGTAATGATAGCTTTTCATCCCAACCTTTGCTCCAAGTGAATGATTTATTTTTTTTGCCTGAAAGTTTATAATATGTGGTACAATATAGAGGGAAAGGTCCCCCTAAGCTACAACCTGCCTTGTTGTGATCCAGCAATTCAGTATAATTTGCATCACAATACATTGTCACCACACCATAGAAGTTATCAATGAGTCTGCTGAAGCTTTAAAAACCTCAACACAAAAAATTAACTTTAGAAAGGATTGAACTAGTAAGAATCACATGTCGACTATCTCTAAAAAGTAGATAGAACAATACTAATAGATTGCCAACTTTAGAATGAGTATCATTTTGTAAAGAACTGGAAATCTGTCATCCAGCATGCACAACTTTATCAGGAAACAGCTGCAAAAGATTACTATTGAATGTATTTTGTATGTCACATAAGCAGTGGGCTCAATCCTAAAAAAAACTACCTGGAGCACCTGATAATGCAAGTGCTTCTGAATTTTAAAAGCATGTTTTACATTCCCCTCATATATATACTGCAAAACTTTTTAGCATATTCTGTTTCAGTTGTATTACATCATTCATAACAATACAAACATGCAGAAAGTAGTACACTTATAAAAATAAAGCTTCTGTGGCAACTTAGCATATAATGTTCATTATACTCTTCTCTGCTTCATCACGTTGCCCCTTGTCACCTTTAATCCCACAATATCAGTCTCACCTGCCCATTTCTCAGCTCCTTAAATCTTCTCTCACATGTGGAGTGCCCTTCCTGATCTGGCTCATAAAGCTACCTACCTTACACTTCAATATACTCTCTCAAGACCAGCTATTGTCATGATCAGGGCTTGACAAACAGTGGCGAAAGCCGCTTGCCAGACCCGCACTGCGCATACGCAAGAGCAGTATTGCACATGCACATACCACTGGTAAACAGGGTGCGCGGCTGAAATCTACTCGCCTTGGGCGAGTAGATTCTACAGTTTGTTGAGCCCTGGTCAGGAGGCATATAAGAAATCAATAAATAGGGCTTGGTTGGTGCCCAATCTATAGAACAATATATTATGGAGACAGAAGTATACTACATTGTGTGTTGGATTTATCCCTCTCCCATTTATTTTACGTCACCTTCCCTTCTTAGATAAAAAGCTCTTTCAAAAAAGGACCATGTACTTTATATGCATTTGTATGACTCCTAACACAATCAGACTTGACCCTATTTTTATATATATATTTATTTATTTAAGAGGATGTGCACTGTGAGTTTGTGAGTCCATTTGTTCAAGAACTCTTCCTAAGCGGTAAGAGCTAGGGCCACCACATTTGGTATGCAGTTCCTCTCCTCCTAACTTAAAGAAAGGTCAGGGTTTGGTTATGCCGGGACAACAGGAAGCTCTAGGAAAAAGACAGGTTTTCCATAATATACAAAGGAGAGGGCTGCTGCTTGGAAGGACACGATAGAAGAGTAGCCACCGGGGACACCGAGCCTGCAGGGGAGAGTTATCCTGAAGTGTCCACTGGGCGCAGAAATGCCACCAAAGAAGTGGCCAGCAGGTCTGGGTTTCCCTTCCTCCGCCTCTCTCCCTCCCTTCTCCCCACCCACTAACCTTTGGCTGCAGTGGCCGGGGAGGGGGGAACGACACCTTTAGGAGATTGGGAGAAGGGCAAACAGGCCCCTAGGGCCAGGGAGAAACATTGGCGCACGCGAGAGAAAGAGAGAGAGAGAGAGAGAGAGAGAGAGAGAGAACAGGCCCCTGGCAAGTGTGAGGGAACACTGAGCCCCTCCTCACCCCTCAACTCTCACCCCCGCAACTCCAGCACTCCCCCCACCCCATCTCCAAGGCCCTGTCTTGAAATAGGGATGTGAATGGGTAACCAGTTAACTGGTTCCCCCAGTAAGCATCACCCATACTAGGTAATGCTTACTGGGAAACAGTTAACCTGTTCCCCAGGAACAACCCCAGATTTATAATGTTTTATAAATACAACTGATTCATCCTTATTCAAGTTTTACATTACATTTCAATAAAATGAAATGAAAATAGATAGATATAGGTGTATAGCAGCCTATTTCATGCGTTCCAGAGAATACCTGTGGCTCCAGTCTGCTCATTTGGTTTGCAGTGTAATTCAGGCTGTTTGCTCTGAGCTATGTCAGTTATGGTTTGGGTCCTGGTTACCTTAGAAACTACCTTAATTACTTTATCTGATAAGGAAGGTCAATGGAGGCTGTGATGGATAGGAGGGGTACTACCCTTTTCCAGATATCCCAAGTTAATAACTAAAGGGTTAAAACCAGAATAGTGGGTATCCAGGGAGTGTTGGCAGGGTGCCAGAAGAGCCAAAGGGAACAGAGTGGGAGAAGTTTGAAATGAAACAAGGCAGTTTTATCTGTTTGAGAGTTTAGAGCAGGAGCTGGGGGGAGAGAGAGATGAACTGAACCAGGAATAAAGTCATGGATTTTTTTTAACCATATCTATGCCTCAGGAAAGACTGTACTCTAAAACAAAGGATATGTAAATGAACAGAGAATCTTTATAGTTAGATACGATCAGGTTATTTTCTGTGTTTTTTTAGTTTGGTTAAATTCTTCTGTGCTAAACTGTACTCTAACAATCTCAGGGAAGCAATTGTCGGTACCTTAATCTTATTTTAGTTGCTCTACCACCTCGCAACCAAGTATGCTTTACTAAATGTATCTTTGTTTTGCTAGTACAATCACTTTTTTAAGACTATAATCTAATTCCGGTGTCCTAAGAAAAAGCAGGTGGTTCGTGTGCATGTGCCTGAGACTGAAAAGCCACTGTTAAGGAATTGCAGTTGTTTTCAAGCTCTCTTCTGATGGGGGGATTAAAGAGCTTGGGGTTATCCCCCAAGGAGAAGTTCCCAAGTGCCTTTTCCTAGCTTCAAGAAGTTTTTGCATTTGGGTGGTGGCTGCGTACTACCCAATGTCAGGGAGTCTGTGACCCTGGGGAGTTTTAAACCAGAAACCTTTAGTGTCAAGGTATTTTGAGGTCTTTTGTGGACTCCTACCTTCTACACTCAAAAGTGCTAGAGCAGGGAACAGTCGCAGAGACACTGAACTGGCAGACTCTACAGTTCTAAGACTACGGCCTGAAAGGAAGGAAGGATGATCTTAGTTGAGGATGCTCAACTCTGAAGCTCACTTCTATCACTGATTCAACTCTGATCTCTTGTCTTTTATGGTACATATTTCTTCAGGCTGTTTCAGAGAGGGGAACATTAGAAAGTTTATTCTTGCTCTTGAGGCAGTGTAGTAGGAATAAACAAACAGAAGGTCACATTTGGTTGGTTCTATCATATCTTTCTCTATTTACTAGTTATGTGCTAGGACAAGAGAGCCTGTGTCACAGTTATTGCCATGCAGTGCTTGTTTTTAATATTGTAGCTTAGAGAGAAACTACTTGGCTGGCATTGACTATCACCTTAATACTATATTTCTCAACCTGAGCCCGTGACACTGAGGGGGACCGTGGGACAGGTTTGGAAGGAGAGGGAGATCATCCAGCCTCAGGAAAAGAGAGGTTTCCTCACTCAGCTTCAGCCCCCTACCTTTTCAGTTTTAGGGGGAGGAGGGGAAGACATCAAAAGTGTCACTAGCACAAAAAGGTTGAAAAATATTGTTTTAATATAACCAAGGCCCTCAGTGCTCTGAGAGAAGCACAACCCCAATCCTGTACTGAGACTCCCCAATTCTGTGCAGACTTTAAGCATCTGAACCCTGAAGAAACTAAAAGGAATGTGGTGCCCTGCAACTGCTGGATCACCATAGACTGGGTCTAAACAGAACGAGTTCATCTGACTTGAGCTACATCTAGACTGCAGTGCTTTCCCAGGATACTGATATCCACGGAACACGTCTGCTTTTCTGGAAAAAAAAAAAATTCAGAAAAGTGGATGCGCTCTTTCAACATCCTTGTAAACCTCATTTTACAAGGAATAAGGGATATGCCAAAAGAGGTTTTTTTTCCCCCAAAATGTGGTGATGCGTAGACGCACCAAATTTCGGAAAATCCTCTTTTGGAAAAAGAGCGGAGAAAGATACGCAAATTGTGGTTTGCAATTTGCTTATCTTTTTTGGACCTTTCTTTGTAGTGTAGACATAGCCTAGATGATAAACACACAGCACACGTGTTACTATGTGCACTATTTAGGAAGTGCCTAACCCTCCCGATCTATTTCCAATAGAATATGTCACAATATCGCCCTGCCTTTCAGTTCTCCTTGGCTAGCAGAGACACCCTGGAAAATAGTCAAGTAAAACTGGCTTGTTTCATTGGCAAGCATAATAAAGAAAATTACCCGCCTTTACAACACTCAAGCCTTGCACATGTGATAGTGTTTTCAAGGTACCTTGCCAATTTCATTTTCAACATCCTATCCAGATTCCTGCAGTTATTACATTTAAACCAACAAGTTTTTGAAAAACAACACTGTTGCCATCATTTGTAATCTGTGATGTGGTGAAGCTCTCTCAGGTCCAGACTGTTCCTTGTGATTGGGTGTGAAAAAACAGAATAGCTGTCCACAGGTTGTTGGAAGGCTGTGATTGCCGCTAAGTGGACCCTCAGAGAAGAAAGTGCAAGTCCCAAGTGTTTGAGGTGGAGAATATAGTCCAAGTAGATTGCATGGGTAATGTGTTAGGGTATAACTTCCTGTCCGAACACCAAGAACAGAATTGGCACCATTTGTGCAGGTAAGTGGTATGTATGTTAGATCTTCTGCTATGTAGGAGAACATGCCTGACAGCTGTAAGCAACTAATTTCTCCTTGTTGGAACCAATTAGGAGTCATGCTGTTAATGCGAGGCGATCCAGCTGAGGATGCAGCAAGTGCCCGTAGTCCTGCGTCAGTAGATCGCGTCGTCTGGGAAGACGATACGGAGGATGGGACGACGATACAGAGGATGGGCCGACATGCAAAACAGGTAAGGAAACCACGTTTGACATGGACAGAAGGGTGCCACCAATATTACCGTGGCTCCGTCCGTAGCTATCTTTTCTAGAACTCTCAGAATCAGAGGAATGGGAGGAAAAGTGTATAGAAGGTGACTACTCCAGTTGAAGAGGAAAGCATCTCCCTTGGATACCAGTCCTATTCCCGTTCTTGAACAATATTGAGGGCACTTCATGTTGTGCTGAGTAGCAAAGAGGTCTATGGATGAGTATCCCCATCGTCTGAATAGCACTCGTAGAATGTCTAGGTGTAACTCCCATTCGTGCTGTGTCGTAAAATGCCTGCTGAGAGCATCGGCTATGATATTGTCCTTGCCAGGGAGGTACGCCGCCACAATCACAACGTTGTGCTGATTGCACCAGTTCCATAATCGAATTGCTTCCATGCAAAGGGAATGGGACCATGCCCCTCCTTGCCTGTTTATATAGTATTCCATTGTCAAATTGTCAGTCAGGGCACACACCACATGGCCACGAATAAGAGGAAGGAAATGCTTCCAGGAGCTGAAGACAGCTTTCAATTTGAGAAGGTTTATGTGCTGTAGGGACTCCTGTGCAGACCATCAACCTTGGATCTGCCTGTCATGGAGATGGGCACCCCAGCCTAGTAGGGATGAGTCAGTCGTGATTTGCATGGTTGGTTGGGGTTGGTGGAAGGGTATCCCAGCTGACATATTGTCGGGAATGGTCCACCAAGTTAAGGATTCTTTGACAAGATGCGGTACCACCACCAACCTGTGTACGTCATGTTTGTGTGGCACGTACACCATGGCCATCCAATGTTGAAAGCATCAGAGGTGTACCCTTGCATATGCCAAGACATACGTTATAGCTGCCATCTGTCCCATGAGCTGTAGACAGGTAAGTATAGGAACCCTGGGACTGGTGGAGAGAACTTGAACAAAGGTCCTGAATAGTGTGGAATCTGGTTGTGGGTAGGTACGCACGTGCCGGGGGGGAATATAGAGATGCGCCTTAGAACTCTATGGATTGTTGCAGTGCCATAGATGATTTTGGAATGCTGATTGTAAGACCGAGTGCTCTGAATACTGCCCTTGTGTTGGTAGCATGGAGTGCTTTGTCGAAAGAGGGGGCTCTGAGAAGACAATCGTCTAGATAAGGAAATACTATAATTCCCGACCGTCGTAGGAATGCTGCTACTGTCTGAGAAAACCCTGGGAGATGAAGAGAGGCCAAATGGTAAGACATTGTACTGGAAGTGCTCGGATCCCACTATGAAACGTAGAAAGCATCTGTGTGCCGGGTGGATACTCACATGGAAACAGGCGTCCTGTAGATTGAGGGATGCAAACCAGTCCCCGTGCTCGAGAGCTAGAATGATAGTTGCTAATGTCACCATCCTGAAACGTTGTTTGCGGAGGTACCAATTTAGTCGACGAAGGTCTAAAATTGGCCTCCAGCCCCCTGACTTCTTCTGAGTTAGAAAACAGTGGAAATAAAATCCCTTTCCTTTGAAGTCCTCTAATACCCTCTTCATTGTGCTGATATCCAGCAGACGAGCTACCTCTTGTCTTGGAGGAGACTCGCGAGAGGGGTCCGTGAAGAGGGACGTGGAGGGAGGGATAGGTAGGGGGAGCGAAGTGAATGGAATGGTGTAGCCTGACGTATATCAGCTGTAGGACCCATCGGTCTGTGGTGATGGCGTCCCATCAGTGTTGAAACGGCCTCAGACGATGGTGGAAGAGTTTCGTTGTACCACGTTGGCCAGCAGATAGTGGAATGGTTTGCAATCCCTCAATCGATGCGTCAAACCTGTTGCCTGGTGTTTTGTTGATTGGTTGGCCTGTTGGTTTGCGGCTGCCATCTCTGTTGACGCTGCTTAAGACAACGTTGGTCATAGTGCCTAAATGGGTTGTTGTACAGGAGAAAGGTCTTCGCCTCTGGTAAGGTACATAGCGCTTCCGATGAGAAGTCGGTATGTACATGCTTAGCGTCCTAAGCATTGTCTGAGAATCCTTACCACAGTGAAGAACCTGGTCAGTTTCTTCAGCAAATAGACTGTCTGTCAAAAGGTAGGTCTTCTACCTTTGATTGAAGCTTCTTTGGCACGGCTGCCATATGCAGCCATGCCATGACGCCCTGCACATAATCACTGATGTGGCTGTGGTTCGTGCCACCGCATCTGCAGTATCCAGGGTGATGTGCAAGGCTTATCGAGAGGCCGCATATCCCTCTTGCACCAGAGCCTTAATGACCTGGCACTTACTGTCCGCTAAGTGTTCCAAGAGAGGCACTAGTTTTGAATAACTATCAAAGTTATGATTGGCCAAGAATGCGGCATAGTTGGCCATTCTTAAGGTTAAAGTGGCCAATGAATAGACCTTCCTCCCTAAAAGGTCTAGGCATTTACTGTTCTTATTCCCAGTATTGTTCCTGTACTGTGGTGCTTTGGCTCTCTGTTGTGCCGCATCCACAACGAGGGAGTTGGGCTGGGGGTGGTTGAAGAGAAATTCCATCCCTTTTGTGGGTATGAAGTACTTCTTTTCGGCCTTCTTGTTTGTTGCTGGAGTGGAGGCAGGTGTTTGCCATTTATCATTGGTCACTTCCAGAATTGCTTCATCGAGTGGTAAAGCCACTTTTGACGTCTGTGATGGCTATAGGTTTCTCAGCAAACGGTGTTGCTTTTGCTGGACTTTTCACAGCTGCACCTCTTGGCTGTCAGTGACACTTTTGAACAGCTCCTGGAATTGATGCAGATCATCAGTAGGTGAAGAATCTCCAGGGAAAACAGTGTCATCGCGTGAGGATGACAATATGTCTGCAGGTTTTGTGGATCTTCTCTATTCAACAGCTGTCCCTCTTCTGGCTCAGATTGGTCTCACTGTAGACAGGGTGGGAGAGTTAGTTTTGTCGTGCATAGTGTGAGTTCGGTGATAGGCCGGTGATCTCCGTAAGTTACACTCCAGGGAATATGAATAATGGCTGTCATGATGACTGTGCCTGGATCGAAGGTCATAATACTCTGGAGAGTATCTATGGTAATGCCTGCTTCTGTACATGTCCCGGCGTCTGGAACCGGTGGAAAGTGTAGGGGACCTGGGTGATCTGGATCTGCCCTGTGAACACACCGGAGAGGGTGGTGAATATCGGTGCTGATGGTAATATCTTGGGGAGAGGGAGGTACGCGGTGAGTAGTGATGTGGGCTCGATAGACAATGGCTTGAGTGAATTGATGGAGCCGGAGAAGGTGAAGGCAGTCCTGGTGAGAAAGCGGCGTGCTGCAGGCTTGGGATGGTGTATGGCAACCTACGAGTTTTCCGGCTTGCTTTAGTTGGTGCCGGAGAGTGCTGGCTTGGTGACTACGCCGGTGTCGATGTGGGCGTCAGTGCCAGCTGTGCATTTGTGTGCAATGACGATGCTGAGGCTAGGCGGCCCCCCCGGTGCTGGCTGACTTGTTGGTGTCGACACGGTCGGTGCTGTATGAGCCAGTGCTGTTATGCGTGGCACCGCCGGCGTTGTGTGTGCCTCCGGTACCAGTACCGATGCAGGTGCCAGTGCCAGTGCCACAGTAGGTGCTGGTCTAGTTTCCGGGACCGCTACGGGTGCCACCTGTATTGTCGATGCTGGACTTCGTGCCGACGCACTTCAAATCTGCTTTTGTGTGTCAGGTTGGTGGATTGTGGTTGCGCCCGAAGTGCCTGGCTTGTCTCCCATGCTCACTTGTGTTGATGACAGGGAGCAAGAGGGAGAAGGTCTTCTTTTAGAATGTGTCGCCTTCAGAGAAGAAGGTCGGCGCCTGGCAACTGCCAGAGATTCCGAAGGGCCAGGGGCATCCAACTGCGGCTGACGTGCCTTATTGAAAAGCAGCATTTTCAGCCACATAGCCCGGTCCTGCCTAGTTCAAGCTGTAAGCTTTGAGCAATGGGGACATTTCTGAGTGATATGTCCCTCGCCTAGGCACCTTATGCATGAGGAATGTCCATCTGATGCGGGCATCGGCTCACGGCATGTGCCACACTTCTTAAAGCCTGGTGATCCTGGCATAGTAGCATCGTGATGAAATTTCTTGGGTTTTGTTTGTTTGTTTGTTTGTTTGTTTGTCTGTTTAAACAAACGTGCTCAACAGAGTGTAACAAACTAACTAATAACTGGTAACTATATACAATTTTTCTGTGTCTTAATTCCTAACAGGATTGAACTCAAGAGAGAGCTCACGCCGTCTGTACCCAGGGACGGTTAGGAGGAACTGGCGGGAGCCAGATCGCATGCTCAGAAATGGCATGAAAGGCACGAGATGGCCAAAGTGCATGTGTGGTCCGGCAAATGACTGCTGAAAAGATCTTCGATCTGCGGTGCCAGAACGAGCCCGACACCTACAATAGAGCACCCACGGGGACACTACTCGAAGAAGAACTGTTGGAAACAAAAGCAGGAGAGGAAAACCTACAGCTAAAGTAAGGAAGATTTACTTTTATCTACTTCCGCTTCCTCTGGGATCTCTCTGGAAGCATATGTTTAAGAACACAGAAGAGCCTCTAGAGAAGACTGAAGAGGTTGGATAAGTGAAGGGAAATGACCTGCTGAGATTTCTTGATGGAGACTTTAAAAAATGGCCTCCATCAG